TCGAACTTGATATTAATGATATATGAGGACAAGAGTATGATAATGGATTTAACATGAAAGTAAAAAAAAAATAAAGGGGTACAAAAAAGACTTCTAAATATAAATCCTAGAGAATTTTACACGTCATGTGGTTGTCCTAATCTAAACCTAGTACTTTGCAATATGGCTAATTCTTGTCCCAAGGTTATGTCATTTTTGGAGTAGTACAACGCATATATTCATTGTTTGTTTCTTCTATAAAACGATGAAAAATTTTACAAGCTAGGGTTTAACTCTTAAATTATTGTCACAAACACGTTAGAAAAGTCGAATTAAATGGGGTTAAATCAATTAAATTTCAAGCTTCAAGTATAAGAGATGCATTGCTACAATTAGAAGAAAATAGTGACAATCCTAAAATAAAAAGTGAAGCTAATTGCTTAAAAACATATGAAATTTAGAATTTTGAGTTCTTATTGGGCATGACTATTTGGTATGATATTTTATTTTCCATCAACTTAGTTAGTAAACATTTACAATCAAAAGACATGCATGTTGATGTTGCTATAAATAAATTAAAAGGTCTCATTTCTATTTTTGGAAAAATATAGAGAAAATTGATTTACAAATGCTATAATTTCATCTAAAGAGATTGCAATTAAAATGAGAATAGAATTTACATTTCATAAAAGACGTATAATTCCTAGGAAGAAACAATTTGATGAGAGTGTTGATGACGAAGTAACCAAAATTTGTTGAAGAATCTTTTAAAACTGATTATTTTATATACATAGTAGATCAATATATTTCTTCGTTAAAGAGTAGATTTAAACAATTTCAAATATATGAAAATATATATGGTCTTTTATTTAATTTTAAAAAATTAAAATCATTAGAAAATGATAGTTTAAAAAAATATTGTTTTGATCTTGAGTTTTTATTAATACATGATAGTTTTTCTGATATTGATGGTTTAGATTTGTTTTCAGAACTAAGTGTTTTAAAGGAAATTTTACCTACGGAAGAAAGTACTCACATTGAGATATTAAGTTATATAAAACGATAAGATTCTTTTCTGAATACATGTATAGCTTTTAGAATTTTATTGATAATTCATGTAACTATTGCTTTTGCAAAAAAAAAAAAATTAAAATTAAAATTGATAATATCTTATCTAAGATCAACTGTGTTAGAAGAAAGATTAAATGTGTTAGTAATACTATCGATCGAAAAAGATATGACAACAAAACTTGGATATAAAACCTTAATTAGTACTTTTGTATCTCAAAAAGTAAGAATAATAAATTTTAAATAAAATATTATTTTTAAAAATAAAAGACCTTTTTTTTAGTTGCCGCTTTAGGCCGCAAAATATCAAGGATTGCCCCTGGTTATACTACATGACAATACTAATGTGGTATCGCCACTGTAATTAATATTTTTTTTTCCTATTCCCACTACTTAATTTATGTTATCCTATATCGATTAAATTATCATGAACATTTTAATTTGTTACAATAATACTCAAAGGGTAGTTAGAGGGGACACAGCGGTCCAGTAAATGTCTACATGGAAGAGGGAGTTCATCCCTCATTCATTCTCTCACTCCCAACAAAACCCTTCATGAAAGTGGATATTCCACCGATTTTACTCTCGTCACAATGCAAAAAATAAAAAAAGTGCACCGACAGAAAGAGGTGGCTCCCAAGAGTTGAAATTTCTTCCCCAACAACCAAATAAGTTTGAATGGTTAAAGCAACAATATAGCTAGAAGTTAGTTATTTTTAATGTGTTGGGTAATTAATTAATGCTCCGTTTGATACGATGGAAAAATAAAATGATGAAAAATTGGAAGAATAGATAAAACATCATGTTTGATAAGGAAAGAAAGTAAGAAATATGAAAAATTAGATGAATTAACTTTCCTTCCAACTCACCAAAATCAATCACTCCAAAATCAGAAGAAAAGTGGATGAAAAGTTAATTATTTATGTTGAGATGTATCTTATTTGTCTATATATATTATGTATACATTAAATTCATATAAAAATATAATGATAATATATATATATTTATTTATTATTTTTTTTTTTAAAAAAAATTTAAATTAAAAAAATATTTTTTTCATCTTAACTATGGGTGAAAATTTTCGACTTAACACGATGACATGACTGGAACACGACACAAACTTGATTATAACTCGACACGAACTTGAAAATGACCTGACACGCGAATAAGAAATATAAAAGGCTCATAATTTTATGATTTAACACGAATCTGACACGACACGACTCGATTGTCAACTCTAATCTTAGCTATCACAAAAAAAAATAAAAAAAAATTAGTTATTTTTATTTTTTATCCATCCAACTAAACACAAAGGAAGAAAATTGAATCATTCATATTTTTTATCCTTGAAGGATAGAAAGTGTATCCCTCCTACTTTCTACCTTTTCTATTTTCTATTTTCTATTATTCCGGCCAAACGGAGGATAAGACTATCGAATTGGCAAACTTGACATAACGAAAGAGCAAAAGTTCAATTTGCAATATCCTATGTATTGATGCACTGTTTAACGCCGTTGGTTCAATTTAAGGACTTTTTTTTGTTTTTTTGTTTCATTAGATTTGTAAATGGAGATTCTAGAACACAGAAAATAAAGGGACAAAAGTCATACATTCTTTACTTTTACAGCTATTATGACTTTTTCTTTTTCATTACTTAGGAAGTAGTGGAGTGGTTGTAGAAATTATAGGAAAACGTTGAGTCTTATTATTACCTTGCTACCATTGATCCCTCTTAAAAACATGGATAACACGAAAGAAAAAAAAACACTTAATAAGATTGTGATACATACGATGAAAAACATTCGAATTTTGGTCCCTTTCAATATATTTCTCCAGTGTTTTAAAAGATAAGTAGATATTTTCCTAATAAATGGTGGGTGATCTAGCATACGACAAATTGATAGAACACGTAACAAAGGTAGGATTTAAAAATCTAGATATCAGTAAACCATGTTTATATTTATTTTAAATAATTTTTTAGTCATATTTGTATCAGATTTACTGAACTAAATTCACTGGTGTTGTAGAATGGCACTATACCCTAATAAATATTAAGACTCAATAAGGGTTGTTAATTTTAACCCCAATAATTAGGGAGTTAGAACTAATTATTTTTTTATGCCTACTAAAAAAAATTATACAACCAACTAACAACATAATAAACATGTTCGGTTAATATTACACATAAATTACCCGACAAAAAAAACTTATTTACCTGGGTATAATATGAAAAACTTTCTAATGTTTTCATATTTTCAATTCGGTACTAATTGAATGATGGTATAATTATAGAATTTTACTTAAATTTGTAAGCGTTGGACCCGAGTGGGTTTTTAGTTAATACAAAGTTGATGAGTGGATGGTTTAATTAAGAGACGAGATTTTAATCATAATTTTTTGGTTTACGAGCTATGTGTGTCAACCAGAACAAGTAATTATTAATAAATAGATCAAATTAGTGCTAGATAATATAATATAATAAATTAAATAAGTCGGGTTCGCATTGGCTAGTACTTATTATGAAATTCAAAATGACATAATCTAATCATGACGTAAAATGACACAATTTTCATTCCTAAGACTCACCTCTCATTTGAAGATAATAAATTATGGTTAGTGAAATTTATCCACACCACATCACTCATAATTTGACTATCGAGGTATGATTATACACTGGATTAATATTTATATGGTTGTTGAAATCTATAAATAAACAAAGTGTCCTTCCTGCAAAAAGTACAATAATAATTCAAACTATTTAGATCTAACTATTTATCTTACGATTAGATTTTAACCTTGTAATCATAGTAAATCAATTTATTTATATTTAATCTTTTAACAACGGTAAATATTTTAATCTTCCAAATATGATATCTTAAAGTTCGGCCCGCTAGTTCCTTGTTTTTACGTGAGAAAGTTGTTTGCCTTCGTATGATAAAAGGACTTATTTTCTATGATAGATGATGACAGCTAAAAAATATCAGACAAATAATAATTCCATATTGAAATAAAAAATAAGAGAGAAAAGCCCATGTATCTTTCAAGTTGTTATTATCAAAATCATTATTTTATAATACGCTTTTTGTTTTTTTGTTTTTTTACTCAAGAAGAATTTCAGCAGATGTTATTTATGACTTAACATTCTTAATCTCATCTTTAGAGCCATCCTTCGATGATTTTTTTTACAATTTATTTGAGCATCTTGAAGTATAAAAATAAAAGGTAAACCATCAAAGTAATTCTTATGGAAAGACATCATGGTTATTATCTCGAATTCCCGAATCACCCAAGAAATATACCAGTTAAGTGTGTGGTCTGATGGTGAGTCCTCATTTGAGTAATTATAAGTTTAGTTGTCGCGTAATTAAAATAATTTTTTGGTTATAAAAAAATAAAATAGAAGTTTTTTCCCAAACTGTATCAATTATTGGGGACCCTAGAATTCTCCAACCAAAGAACCTTGAGTAGAGTCTGCGAGGAGAACAAAGTTCTTGCATTCAAACTGTCTGCAAAGAAAAACGTTTTAAAAATAAAGTAGCTGGATCTACCACTCAAAATTTAGCATCACACGACCCACCTAACCATGACTTGCACAGATGCATGGCAACAAAAAGAAAGGTGTGAAATGATGTTTGGTGCTTCCTCAATTCTTAGTTCTTACCCTTCCCAGTACCCTTTTTGATTGGTTGTTGCCACACGGATCCCCAAGATAAGACTGTACGCTAAGACGAAAGATATGAGAGAAGTTCCTTTCAACTCAATAGGCACTAGGAAAATTCCATGACATTATTGTGGCTGTAAGAAATGGTCAGATGCAAAGTCAGAGTTGATGTCTGTGGAGCATATGGAGAATTCACTTCAAATAAGAAACGTTGAGTTAATGTTTTCCATGACAAGTACAGAACATTATCTTCTTCTGTCCCAAACCTCAATAAATAGCTTTGCCGCTCATTCAAATATCAGAAAGGCAAGCTTACTAGAAACACACAAAAACAGTTCAATTGCCTGAAAATGGGGTCGATGATCATGAAAGTTTTGATGTTGCAGTTTTTAGGGTTGCTATTATTTGATGGCTTCACCCATTCTGAAGCTTTTATAATTCGTCGTACCTTCGTGGTGAGTACAGTGATCATCTCATTCATATGAGGTTATCTTTTCTTTTTCGGTGTTTTCGAAAGTTAAACAGGTCATCGATACCCTTTTACAGAAGCTACACTACTCGCATTAGACCAAAGGGCCTGCAGGATTTGGTGTGGTGGAACCAAAAGCTCCACGAAGCCTTCCTGTTTTGCGTTATGTGAAATACGGGTTGAAGGGATAATTATCCTTCAATTTTTTTTTATCCAATTACTGACCAAATTAAGATTAGTGTAGTGTGCACCTCTTACCTCTGATCCTCGTACACATATGCAATGATGGATCTAGGGTACGAGGGAGGTCAGAAATGGCATAAAGTTTAGAAAATTCCTCTTATTATGTTATGTGAGCATAAATAGTCCAAGATTATATAGGCTTGACCCTCATGCTTTTTGAAAAATTTAAAGGTCACCCTCCGATAAAATTTCTGGATATGTCCCTTCTGCATATGTATGGTCGACAAAGTTTACTTCATGGAATTAGTAGTTGTAGGGTAATATCACCGCCATTTTCATAATTAAAAAGATTTGCACATGGTGCATGTCATAAAATATAGTCTGCTTGTAAAAGAATATATTGAAGTCTATAAATACTTAAGTTATACTTGTTAAATAGCTAAGGTGTTTAGAGTAGTTAGTAAAAAGGTTTTTTTTTTTGAGAGGAGAGGGTAGGGAAGGGATAAGGGGGATTTGAACCCTTAACCTCAAGAAGACAAAACTTTCACAATGCAAGTAGTACCATTGGACCAAAGACTCATTGGTTAAAAAGATAAATACCTAAAAATAAAGTGAATAATTGCAATTGTCATTGGTAATGCAAAAAATATCTACAATCTAAAGATATGCATCATGAAGAGTACTAGAATAATATTTTGCATAGATACTCATGCATTGTGCATGTAATTGTATGTACAAGAGAAATATGTATGTGTACATATGCATGGAAGTTATCGTACATGTTAACATGAGAAGTTATGTATTTCAGTTCCTCTGCTGCTGCTGCTAACTTTTTAATTCACAGGTGCAAGAAACACCATACACAAAACTCTGCAGCACCAAGAACATCTTGACAGTGAATGGACAATTTCCTGGCCCAACTCTATATGCACACAAAGATGATACAATCCTTGTTGACGTTTATAACAGAGGCAACCAAAATATCACCATCCACTGGTATGAGCCATTTCGTTTGTGTGTGAAAGTTTTAATAATTATCTTATTAGAGTATGATACCGAAACATAACCATTCGCTACTATACCTCCTTTTTTGTCCACCCATGAAATGACAAGTGGAATGTTTCATTGATTCATATAACGTTATCCAATTACTGAAGTTAATAACATAATCTACATCAAACTTTATCCCATCAATGAAAAATTCAATGGAAATCATTTTGCAGGCATGGAGTGAAACAGCCAAGGAATCCATGGACAGATGGACCAGAATTTATTACACAGTGCCCTATTCAACCAGGTGCAAAGTTTAGCCAAAAGATTTTGCTTAGTGATGAGGAAGGAACTATATGGTGGCATGCACACAGCGATTGGTCGCGAGCTACAGTTCATGGCGCTATCTTTGTCTTTCCAAAGAAGGGAACCACTTATCCCTTTCCTAAGCCTCATGCAGAAGTGCCCGTTATATTAGGTATAAAACTCTTGCTGCATATTGATAACTTCTGATTGGAAATAGTGGGATTGATCCTACAAATTGGGATTGAGCCTAATTGATCTCATTGAGTCACCACTTGATACGATTGAATAGTGACAACATACATGACAACGAGAAGAATAATTTATAAAATTGTTAAAAGTTAGACTACCTAATAGCCAAATGTCTAATATGTTAAAAAAAAAATGCAGGAGAGTGGTGGAAGAGTGATGTACAAGCGGTTCTTACGGAATTCCTTCAAACTGGGGGAGATCCAAATGTTTCTGATGCTTTCCTTATAAATGGTCAACCTGGTGATCGATACCCATGCTCAAAACAAGGTTTCAATTTTATTCACCTTTTTTCTCTTACAAATTTGATGAGTACCAGTTTTGCACACTAGTTAGCCAATTAGACATCAATAATATGATAATATTAAAATTTTCAGGTTTTTTTAGTTCAGATCTTGAATACAAAATTCTTCATGCCAATCAAGTTGCACAACAAGTCCAGAAAAAAAAAAAAATCTACTTGCAAAAGAAGTCATTAATTGGGTTATTGATAATCTGTGCATCATTTTGGGACTTTTCCTCCCCAAATTACCGTTTATTACTCTTTTTCTCAATTCTATCAATATTTTACATAAAAGTGTATGTTTGACCCACAGTATTAGAGGTTTTTGTAATAAAATCATGTTTTGCCAATACATATTTACATTGAAGAGGGTGAATTTAATCCACAACGTTAGCAATCATGACATTTGCGGTAATTTTGGAATTGATTTATCATGTTGAACTAGCAATGACTTGTAATCATTATGTCTGCAGATACATTCAAATTGACAGTGGATCATGGTAAGACCTATTTGTTCCGAATGATCAACAGTGCCATGAACAACATTCTCTTCTTCGCCATCGCCAAACACAAGATCACCGTTGTCGGAACAGACGGTGGCTACACCAAGCCATTGACAAGTGACTATCTCGCGATATCGCCCGGACAAACCATTGATTTCTTGGTAGAGGCCAACCAACAACCAGATCACTATTACATGGCTGCTAAGGCCTACAACAGTGCCAGCTCGGTTAGGTACGACAACACCACCACCACAGCCATTATTCAGTATAGTGGAAACTACACTCCATCTTCACCCTCACCTTTCCCTCATCTCCCAGCCTTCAACGACACGAAAGCCTCGGCAAATTTCACCGGCAGCCTGAGAAGTTTAGCCAGCATAGACCATCCAGTCCAGGTACCACTGAATATCAGCACGAAGTTATTTTTTACAGTCTCGATTAATACACAACCATGTGATCGTAATACATCTTGTGAGGGTCCAGATGATGAACGATTCGCGGCCAGTGTGAACAACATAACCTTCGAACAGCCAAGAATTGACATTCTTGAAGCTTATTACAGGGGCATTAATGGTGTTTTCGGATATGATTTTCCTAATTTTCCTCCAGTGGCATTCAATTTCACGAACCGAACTATTCCGGTGGAATACCGGAGGTCAATGAACGCAACAAAAGTGAAAGTGCTTGAATATAACTCCACGGTGGAGCTTGTTTTCCAGGGAACCAATTTGGTGGCTGGGATTGATCATCCCATGCATTTGCACGGATATAGTTTCTATGTTGTTGGGTGGGGATTTGGAAATTTTGACAAAATGAAGGACCCTTTGAAGTATAATCTTGTTGACCCTCCTCTACAGAATACCATTGCAGTCCCAAAGAACGGCTGGGTTGCTATCAGATTCAAGGCAAACAACCCTGGTACATTGCATTCTTCTTGCTATTCACATTTATTATTGTTATTATTAGCTAAAATTACACCTCACATCCTTAAAGTATGGCCTGTAAAATTAATAATCATATTTGGATGCTATTTTCTTTGTTATATTACTAGTATTGGTGTTGAATGTGTTTATTTATTTTTTGCAGGAGTGTGGTTAATGCACTGCCATTTAGAACGCCACATAAGTTGGGGGATGGAGATGGCATTCATAGTGAAAAATGGGAAACACCCAAATGCCAAAATTTTGCCCCCACCTCCAGACATGCCACCATGTTGAAGCTCTACAAGATTTCTATTTATATTGTATTAAATTTTCTAGAGTGTTTTTTTTTTAATAAATTGGTTATGTGTCTTAGAAATGAATAAAACATTTGCAAGTCCCTTTATATACAGTGTTAACCGCAATGCAAAATATGCTTGTGATCAGTAAATTATTATATTTGTTCTTTCTTCGAATTTTCTTGTCGGGGTGAATTTTGTTCTTAGAAATTTATCTTAGTCGTAGTTCTTTTATTATCCTTTGTAGCGTCATCTGTGGATCAGTTAAACGATGGTTGATGATCTAATCTTTTTTTAAAATTTGTGAGTCGGATCCACTTTGACTCGATACGGTACGTGAATTTTATGGCTCGGGAACCAAGTTACTTCATTTTGAACCCAATCTACTAAATTCAAAGCCCACTTGAAATTATTTGTGCCCACTGTTCTTGTTATTTACAACTCAGTTTTTTTTTTTTTTCAGATTTTTTGGTGGCCGGTACAATATAGGTTTTGAGTTTTTTTTTTGTTTTGGGAAAATAAACAGGGGAAAGGCCTGTGCCGTTCATTAGGTATAACGCAATGTAACAAAGCAAAACAAGGAAATCAACCTAGCTCTTAATAAAAGAATTGCCAAGGAACCAAGTCTTCCAATACAATTCCTTCGTATGTATTCAAAAAGACAACATCAATGCAAAATACAATTTTTTTTCATCTATTAATAATACTTAGATAATATCCTAACAAGATCTGTATTCATCTATTGCTCAACATATATACTTTCATACCAAAAGTATATATATTGTGGATACTATTAACAAAATATTCAGATATTTTATTACAAGTAAGTTATTTGAACATAATTTATTAATATAAATTGATAATTTAATAAATCATTGTCATTAGATTAATAATAAATTTTAGTATTAATAATCACTCGTTAATTAGTTATGATGCATTATGTCAATAAATTATGTTTAAATAATATTTTTTTATTAAATTTGTAAAATATATATTCGATATGGCCAGTGCTGACTCAAAGAAATGGCAGCTGAAACCCTTGCCCAGGGCCCCAATAATTATTCTGAACATCACATCCATTACCAATAAAACACACTTATCCAGCAACTCTCATAGCATTACTGGTTGGAAATTATTGGTTGACTGGTGGTGGGGCCAAAGATCAAAGAGAAAGAAAAATAACTCACGGGTTTTTGAACTTGACATACCAGTTCACCACCACCGCTCTTCAAATTGTACTGCAAATAAGTCGATGATCGTCCTTTCGAGTCTTTTACACGTGGTTTAGCATCGTTACACGCATCCCAAACTTACCTACAATTACACCGTCATGAAACACATAATCAAAATACTTCTTGGATTATGGAGTAAAGAAAAATGTCACAGAGAAAATTTATAGGATGAGTCTTACCATATATAGGAATTTAGTTACTCAAGTCAATGTATTTGCATCTGCTTCAATACAATAGATCTTAGTTGTTTCCAATGACAACTCACTCGCTATGAATTCAACTGGAAGCCCACTAACTTCTTCATCTTCCAATAATGTATAATTGTAGAAAAATGTATTGAAAGGGTTTTGAACCGTAATATTTCTTCTATTTCAAAAACACCGATAAAGTCAATAGAAATAATCAAAATTCTCTGCAATAAAAAACAGGATGGAACTGGGGTTTGGGAGAACATACAAAGTTGAGATGAGTGAGAGAATTTGGAAGAGCAGAGGCACCTGAAGAGATGGACACGGAGTGACATTAAGGTTTTGCTGGTTTGTGTATCCTTATAGCATAGGTCATGTTGGTAGTACAAATTGAAGTACATATAATTTTGTTCCTATTTGTACTGCACATGTACTTTTCAAAATTAAAGCATTATTTTTCTTTGTAAAAATTTCAGTCACACTTTTTTTAATTTATTATATCTTTTAAAACACCTTCTTTATTTTTTGAATATTTACTAACCCCTTAGATTAGATTAAAAATGTTAATTAGAATGCAAATTCACTAAATTGATTGTGATATATTTGGAAAAAAACTTCATCCATATCTTCTCTAGATAGACATATTTTCAATGAGACCCTTTCTATTTTTTAAATTTTTTTACATATTAAAATTTGGACCGATTAAAATTTAATTTGTGTTAATTAAAATTTATTTTTTACATATTAATATTTGAGTCAATTAAAAATTATATTTTTTTACGTATTAAAATTTGAGTAAATTAAAATTCCATGCGAGGCTCAAATCAAATTTTAATCAACTGATATTAAATTTTAGGGAGAATTACACCTGAACCCTATGAGTATTATCACTTAATTACTTAGACTCCTTTGACATTTGAATTATTATATACAAATCCCTTGAGGTTTATATGCGCGTAACCCTTAGACTCATGTTGTAAATATATCCATTAATAAATTATATCTAGATCCCCTAAAGTTTATAAGCATATAATATTTAGACCCTTTAAGTTTAAAATGTTATACTTATACCAAAAATACTCCAATTAATGATATAACGTCAAATATTTTAAATTTTATAACCAAAATTATGTTATATTATATCATTTATTAAAATAAAATCAAAATCAAAAATTTAGTTTTTTCTTAAAAAATCATAATTAATATACAATTATAATATCTATTAAAATCAAAGTAAAAGATCAAATAATGGGTTTAAGTCATTCATAATAGAATATGAATTTTACAACCAAAATTCATATTCTATTATGTCATTTATTGAAATAAAATCAAAAATAAAAATCTAATTTTTTTTTAAAAATCATAGTTAGTATATAATTATATTATCTATTAAAATAAAACTAAAAAGTTAAATAAGGGGTCAAACTATAAATGAACAAAATATCTTTTAGCTTTAATTGAGGTAATTTGGTATTTTAATTTGGTCATTTAAATGACCAAATTAAATTCCAATAGAGAATATAATTGTATACTATTTACAATTTTTTAAGAAAAAATTGAATTTTTATTTTTGATTTTATTTCAATAAATGATATAATACAATATGAATTTTAATTGTAAAATTTAAAATATTTAATATTCTATTTTTGATTGAAGTATTTTTGGTTTAAATATAACATTTTAAAAGTATGGAGCCTAAGTAATATATATTTATAATTTTTAGGGGGTCTAGATGTAATTCATTAATGGATATATTTACAAGAAGAGTCTAGTGTTATGTGCATACAAATTTCAAGGGGTCTGAGTGTAATATAAAAAATAAATTTTAATTGACTCAAATTTTTTAACAAATAAATTTTAATCAAGTTGAATCTAAATTTAATAAATAAAAAAATATAAATTAATCGATTCAAAATGAATTTTAATCAGGTCTAACAGCTCAAATAGAGCTCAAATTATGTAAAAGACTTTTAATATGCTCAAGTTTTATTAAGAAAAAAAATTAAAATTTAATCAGCTCAAATTAAATTTTAATCGACTCAAATTTTATTATGTAAAAAAATAAATTTTAATCGGCTCAAATTTTAATCGAATTCTATGTGAAAAGATTGTTTGAAGTTTATATAGGGGTAATTTTGATATTTTATATAATTTATTTGTATTATAAATGGTGGTTTAATGGTACGACGTATCAGTGATATTTAAATATCAACTAGAAAGAGAGTCAGTGATATTTGAAAATAGATGGAGTTTCTTTAAAGATATGGTAAACTTGAGGAGGTGTGACTAAATTTTTTTAAAATTTAAATCTACTTGAACTGAATTTGAATTGACTGTAAACAAATATGAATTTTAACAGATTCGAACAAATTTTAATCGGTGCTAACGCGTTAGACAAGAGAAGCTTTCCAAAAGGACCGCAACCTGTTTTTTCAAACCAACGGAATGACACACAACCTATCGAGAAGTTAGGCCGACCGGTCATGTCTCTTTAGGCCTATGGATAACGGCCCACATTACTGGCCCAATTCCCGCACACTACTTGTCGTGTACAAAACCATTTAAAAAGGGATTTTTCATATTTTGAGCCTGGAAAGATTTCAAATTTTTTATTTTATAATTTTAAAGATTAAATTTTTTATATTGTATCCTTAATATATTAAAAGTGTTGTACTGCAGTCATTTTGTTAGCTTCTATTATTTTTTCTTTAAAAGTCAATCCATTGATACTAACTGAAAGACTAACAAAATAGTAAAAGAAAGGTCACGTTATAATAACAAAAGGGTTACAATACAATGTAAAAAATTTAATTTTTAAAGAAAAAAAATAAAAACTTAAAATCTTTCCAAGTGCAAAGTAAAATTCACCCATTAAAAAAAATAATGTTTTGAAGTGTAAGTTATAATTTTTTGCGGGTTAAATTATAACTTTTTCAAAAGTTTGGGATTGTTGAAGATCGGTCTCAAAAGATTGGTTCGAAGCCTTTACAAGACATTGCCTAGGTTTTACTTGGTGTTTATAGAAAAATGACTCTCTTGTGCACAGTAACTTTGTTGGCTATTTATACAACTGGTAGTTAGAATTTCGTGTTTATTCCTTTTGGTTAATTCTGTGGTCCCTTTTATGTTTGCCTTTATCCTCGTGTTGTGGTCTCCAAAGTCTTTTTGAATCCATTACTCGCCAACGGTAATAGTTGATCGTCTTCTCACTATTTTTATAGTGTTTGAGATAAATATATGTATTTCGATTAGGGTCATATTCTATGGTTACGATTCTATTATATATGTCTTTTTCTTTCCATCGAAAATTAATTTTAGGATGTAAATGTTTATCTCCACTATCTATGGGATTTTGTTTATCAGAATCGTCAAGTAATATTCCCTTATCTCCTGTCCACGTGTCTTTGCAGACCGGCCCTCTGCCAGGCTCCTGATTTCCGAACTTGTTATCGTGCAGAACCTGTTATCATGTTGAACTTGTTACTCCAAGTTTTCTTGCAATCAGTCTTTGGCCCAATTCGTACTCATGAGAGTTTGTTTGAGCGATTTGCTTGGGCCATTTTCTCCAAGCCCAAAAGATCATGGGCTCTAAGATGATCCAGACTTATAAAGATAAAGCCCATAGACAGCACAAGATAAGGCCTTAATGGTTCTGGACCATCCAAATCTGGCAATTATCCGACTCAATAGCATGTAGAATCTAGATATTGCCCCAAATTATAAAAGTCAAAATGGATTCATTCACAGTATGATAATGAGCCGGTTAGCCACTGATTCATAATTTTTGACCCGATCCAAGCCACTTGGTGGTCACTCACACCATGAAAAAATATTATATCCGAATCAACTTGTGATTCCCTTTTGCTTCAGACAAAAGCGGAGAGAGTCGGCAAGAAACCTTGTTGGACATGGTACAACCTTAATGCTACGCTTATCAATGATTGATATAATTTATTAATTTAATTCATCATAATTATTGAATTGATTATAAATTCAAATAAATATTAGGTCATTTGTCAAATCTAATAATTATGAGTGATTATGCCAACAAATTATTTTAATAAATTAAGTATAAATAATATT